TTTAGGCCGCGGCCGGAAACAAAAACGGCGCATCTCCTTCGCATTATCATTAATATCTGCCCCGTGTCGGAAAAGCAATTCCATCATATTAAACCGCCGATACTTTGCCGCCGCCCCCAAAGCGCCCATCCCGTTTACCTGGGCACCATGTCGAATCAACATCTCCACCATTTCGATTTGGTTATCTTGCACAGCTAGACTGAGGGCAGGGAAGCTGTCGCCCAATGGATTCTTGTTCGGATCCGCCCCGTGCTCGAGAAGATAATCCACAAATTTGGGATTATCGCCACGTACAGCAATGGTGAGGTACCCGCCAATCCGGTCCACGTTGTAGTTGATATCTAGACCAGCCGGGACAAAGATCTGCAGCAGCTCAAACGTGCAGTTTCGACCGATGGATTCATGAACCCAGCTGTCCAGCTTGGCACCATGTGACAGGCAGAGCTGGATCAGCTCGATGTCCCTGCTAAAGATAGCACGACAGAGCATGTGCTCTAGCGAGACCGTGGATTCTTTGGGAATTGCAGTGCCATTCAGGATAGATTTCCAAGCTGCGCGCTCTTCGGCGGACGCCGGCGACCAAATGATCTTCCAATCTTCTGGCATCGTGTGTTCGGGAGGGTAGTGCAATATGATGTAATTAGTTCGTTTGATGATGGGGTGGCCGTATTCCTGCAGGTCGCTTAGTAAATTATCGCAAAAGAAATAGTAATAGTAAAGGGCAAGGGGCCTCCTGGGGTTTATGTGCTAGTTGAGAGATTGTCGGGGTTGGATGACGATCAGCAAGGGTTTCAGTTAGGGGCCGTTTGGTGGGATCTAGGATTCTAGGAGCTGTTCAGCCAGTGGTATGGCCCCCGACCCGTTCCTTTCCCGTCCTGATCGGCATTGCCTGTTCTACCAGCGCTGTACAGTCATGATTGCAATATGAAGCTCTGCCAAAACGTTTTACCACTAGCCCTCCAAACCAGTACAAAGATGTTGTCGATCTCAAGGACGGCCTCCACCCGTGTATTATCAGGAAGTACGAGACTATACTCTCGGACAGTAGTGTCTACCGACACCCGACACGACAGGCCTTCCTAGCTTGTAGACTGTAGGATATAAATATTTCGAAGATTCTGCTCATACCCTTCCTCATCATTATCAAAAAACCATCTCTCAACGAGCATCTGAACGGGGGAAAACAATCCCAACTTCCCGGCAAGATGCAGTTCCTTCCCAAGAACATGCTCAGCAAGCTCTACCTTCTCTTCTCCGTTTTCTTCTTCCTCAACGCCCTCGTCTCCGCCAGTCCCATCGGCAGCCACGATGAGCTCTCCAGCGCAGAAGCTCTCCCCGAAACCACTTTGGAGGCTAGAGCAAACAGCCCAGCCCTCCCCACCAACGACAAGATCCTGGCAAGCGTGAAGCCCGTCCAGAAGGACAAATTCCTTTTCTTCTCGGCGCATGGCGGCCACCTAGATGCCATGAACTGGGCCTTCGATAATAATCTCCGTCAACTTGAAGATTGGTACCCAGACATGTCTACTTATTGGGCCGATAAGACTTTGAATAACCCCGATGGTCCCCATTTCAAGGATTTCGTGGATTTCGTCGATAGAGCTAGCGAACTGTTTGCCCAGAATGCAAAGGGTGTCGTCCATGCTGTCCTCGGCGATGTCAAGGCTTGTTCCACCTGGGAACGCGTGGAATTCCCTGCGTTGAAGAAGAATAAGGACGTGACGCAGGTCATTAAAGTCGACCCTGCTGACAAGAATAAGAAGGAGGTCATTTGGCCCGCAGCAAAGCATGCAACAAGAGGGCTTTTCGGCAAAAAGAAGTGTTTGAACGAAAGGTATAATGGTGGCGCAAAGCCTAACGGTTCAAAGCCTAAGGATGGAAAGCCCAAGGATGAAAAGCCTAAGGACAAGAAGCCAAAGGACAAGAATCCAAAGGACAAGAAGCCCAAGGATAAAAAGCCGAAGAATTAAAGGGACATCTGTCCCCTTGAACTTCTACTCAGAATGATCGGGAGAGGAATCTCCGAACAATAGGTGCTGTTGGCCGGAATCATGCGAGGAAGGGCAAACAAGTAACTGTTCTGACACGGGGTGTTATTCTGTTCTATTATCATGTATTAATATCTCATAGTTATAGAGATGGACTGCAGCTTATCTTATAATATAATTTTATCACCTGTCTAGGCGGAAACCACCAAAGCAAAACAATTGCCTTCAACTAAGTACTGTTTGTTGCCTTTAACGCTAGAGGGCAGGGCGGTCGATACCAGCTACTCTGTCGCATGAAACCTATCCTAGAGAGTTACCTTCAGTGCTTATAGGCCAGTACCAACTCGTTCGTACCCTTGACCTATCAGGTGCAATGTATCTCACAAACGAATGGGTCGCCCAGCCGATCTCTGCCTCTGAGTGAGATATCCTCCACCAAGACTGTCACTACTTGCGCAATATCGTCTGGCTTACTAGTCAAGCGAGTACTCTACTGCATATCAGTCAGGAAGTCCTCCAGGACTTGCTGGCGAGGCACATCAGCTTCCGCCAGCCCCGGCTGAACCATATTGACGATGTGACCCAGCGGCCCGGCTCATATGCCAAAGATATCATGAATCCCTCTACAGCCTTAGATGCGGAGTAGGCCATCAAGGTCGCTAGACCGGCTTCCATAAATAAAGAAGTCATATTCACTGGTATACTTATATAGAAGGTAAAGTAGACGATATGCCAATCATTCATGGAAGATCGTGGTCTTCACCCCACCAAGCTCAATATTTTCATCATTCGCCTTTGGAGGCTTATCCCAGTTCCTCTTCACCCTCGCCCTCACCCACTCCCCGGCGGACACCTGTGCCTCATCACCTTCATCCTCTTTGAAACCCAATCGTCTCAACAAGGGGCTATCTACCGTCTTCAGATCCAGCCCATCACCCGGTCGGACGAAATACAAGACACCTAGTCGATCGATATGGGCCTGATCCGGGGGTGGCGCAATCACGCGGTGCACGCTGCTCTTCAGATAGCCATTGGTCCAGAACTGCAAAGCATCCGCGATGTTCACCGTGATACTGTTGGGATAAGGCTTCACATATTTCCAAGCACCCTCAGGCGTCTTCACCTGCAATGCCGCAACGGGCTGTCGGAACAACAACGTCAAACTCCCGAAATCCGTATGTCCGCGTGACCAGATATTCTGATGTCGAGCATTCTCCTCGGCGCTGCGTGCCCGGTAGATCATGTACCGGAGGTGACAATCACTGGGCCCGTCATACGGATGGCCACGCACGAGGTAATCCTCCGGCAGTTCGAGAAGGATGGAAATCAACTGGAAGAGCTTCGTGACGATATTATCATAGATGAACCGGTGAAACCGCTCAATCTCCTGGTAATGCCGCAGGATCACTTCCGGGTGTGACCGTGCATACTGCGGAATGAACTTGAATACATTGTATAGTTCGATATTGTCGCGCAGGCCTGGCAAGATCTCGATTGCGCCCAGTGGCCGGTAGCCATTGTAGTTGCCGGCTTCGAGGTCAGCGCGGTGTTTCAATTTTTCGGACTCAGGAAGCTCGAAGAGTTCTTGGCCGATGGCGAATTGGCGGTCGATTTCTCCGGGTGAGAGTCCGAAATTGGTGATGTAGAAGAACCCTGGTCGGCGTTAGTGTTATGCTGTTTGTACTTTTGGGGGGAGTTAGGCAATCTTTACCGATGTTGTGGACCGCGTCTTTCAATTGAGTTGCTAGTTTTTCTTTGCCTCCCGGCACATCAAACTGGGAGAGATCGAGCGTGACCAGGTCAGCCCAGTCGACTACGCAATTAGTACAATCGAACTATTCCTGAGGGCGGCAAAAACATACGCTCGTGCTTCGTTTCGGGTACATGGATGTATGTTCTTAGGGTGGAGGAACTGGCTCCATCAGGAACACTGACCTGGCGAGCTACTTCGGCCATGGTAAATTAAACTATAAACCCTGTGGCCAAAATTATCAGCGAAGTGCCGGCATAAGGATGGCGGAGAAAGAGATTGTAGATTTATACATGCAATCTGCATGACCCCTCACTTGACGCCCTACAACCTTTTCTACAGTAGTGGAGAATGGCAGATACGAGAGAAGACCATAGGTCTGTTGGAACTAAGTTGACGATGGTGAAAGCGTTCCCTGCGATGGCGTGAGAGGAGACGTTTACTATGACGACACCCCCAGAGACAACCAACGCAATGCCGGCTTCGATGCACAGTATGAATGGCATAGCCGCTATGCTTCTTTGGGCCTATTTTCCTATCAATGGAGATTAAACATCATTCCCTATCATAGAGCACTATGGTTGAACTAGACATAAGTCCCAGTCAAGAAGATTGATGTTGGTATAAAGAGAATGTCTGCATGCATACATGAGCCTCCGCACTGTTGTCCATAATTAAAATAAACATCGCTCTACTTGAGATCTAATACAGTCGCATTAGACTGTAAGTCGCGACATTAGCATTTTGAACTTATACACCAGCTGACAGCTACATGTAAACAACCGATCGGGTTAGCGGGCTCGACCCAAACCAGGTTCTGGCCTCCCGCCCCGCGACCCAGCGGAGCGTTCCGTTCCCGTTTTCTGGGGAACCCTAGGTTATCAACCCATGATTTGATTGAAGTTTTCGTGCTTAAACATCATGTCTGTTTTCAGATGAGAAGTCTATTGGCTGGTTGTGGTACTTGCGCGGAGACCATTCATATAGTATATTGTAAAGCTACCTCGGACAAGCGTACAATATATATATGTGTCCGAAATCCCACAGAACAAGCCATCCTAAGATCCACAGGAAAGATCCAAACATTTCAAGACAGGTATCGATATAAGAGTTCATTTCCCCATAATTATATTTGATTGAAAATGTAAACAGGGCTTTCCACGACCTAAACAACCTACAGCCACACCCTGAGTTAGCAGACTCACTTCGACTATTCTTGTGAATACGAAGAGTTTTTCTAAGCAAAACACTTCCATCGAGTTGCCCTTATAGCTCAGTGGTACGAGCGCATCACTCGTAGCCTAAGGCATCTGTCGGATACCTGGGTGTTGAGGCATGATGAGGTCCGCGGTTCAATCCCGCGTGGGGGCACATTTTTTGGCACCTTTTTAGGTACTATACTGTGTGTCACGCCAGTCTATCCAACATTGCTCTCTGTATTCTCAGGGTTTTTTTTCCTGCTTTTATTATCTTCTTATGTTTTTGTAGTGTCCCTCTTCGCCTTCGTACTCCTTTGTCTTGTAATGGATACTGGGCTCTGCGGTTTATAGGGACTGGTAATATATATAGCTTACTCCAGCATCTCATATACCCTGCATTCTATAGATTCCTAAGGGCACGTGTCCGAGCAAGCGTATTCCCAAGTTCCCAGGGCTCAATCTATGTCTAACTGAGTTTGGAGGTCGGCCCATGGTGCCACATTAAGATATATCCAAGTATAAGTTCTAAGAAATGATTTATTTGATGGGTCATATATATAATACGACGAGCTCGCTGAGGAAACCGATTAGTCGTCTTCCAAAAGCTCAGCCAACTCACGTTCTTCCTCTTCTGTCAGCATTGATCCCGGGTTTGGCTCTGGCTCCTCATTTGCTGATGTGTCCCTGGCCCTTTCTACAGCGGCCTGGAGATCTTCAGGCTTCAACGACCACCGACGGATCGTGGCATCGATACTGACACTGACTAGCGTCGAGCCCAGCAGTATGAGTCCTGTGACCTCCTCGAAATGACCAGTGAAGGTATGGTGAAGTCGGCCGGTCTGTCTATTGTATTAATAAAGAGATAGATAGTATACAGGATGGGAGAGAACACTCACCGAGCGATTCCATACGCGAACCTCCTCATCCCTGCAAGCAGTCACAACCCAGCCACCCTGCTCGTGGACGACTACATCACGGACAAATTCTGGGTGAGCCAATGTCAGGTTTGGCTTCCAGTCATCCTCTCTCACGAGACATTTTGCGGTTTTGTCTGCAGAGGCAGTCCACAAGTCGGCATCCCGGTCAAAGACGAGCTTGAACACATTAGTCTCATGGGCGAGGATGGCATCTGTGCCAGTCAGGTCTTTACTACCGCTGGCGATGTCGAAACGGCGAATCTCTCGATCGCTGCCACAACTGAAAACAACCAGCTCCTGGCTGTCAGAATCTAAAGAGACAGGATCTACAACAAGTCCCTGGATACCCTTGGCATGGCCCTTCATGACGGAGAGCCGCTCACCACTGGCAATATCGAACACCAGGATCTGCGCGTCAGCCCCGCCAGACACGAGGACATCCTTGCCCTGCAGTCGGGTGGTGATCACCGCTCTTACGAAGTCGGTATGACCTTCATATTTCTGTTTCACTTCCTTCGAAGTCACATCCCAGCACCAGACATATTTGTCCCAGCAACCGGCGAATAGTAATCGGCCGTCAGGGCTAAAGCAGAGACTTGTGATGGGGGCCGTCGGTCCTTTATAAAGAGCAGCAGTTTCACCTGTCTACAAGTGAACCGAGGCACGATGGCGATTGGCTTAGTTACGTATCCCAGCGAGGCATCCGACCAGGAGGACACCGTGCACCTACTTCGAGTATAATCTTTCTGACCGTGCCACCACTCTGCGCCACGAATACAGCGCCGGAATTCAGAGGGTCTGCCTCGACTGCCAAGATCTTACTCTGTAGCCTGATGGGGTCTCCATTTGTATTTTTAGATTTAGCGTCCTTTCGCTTCTGCTCGTCAAGCGCAGCCCTGGAAATACGGGAAGGAAGATCAGCGACTGGGAAGCGCGAGTGAAGAGAACGACGGCCAAGCTCTATGGAAGGATAGTATGACGAACGTAGTTTGAAAGAAGTCGTCGCGATGAGACGAACGAGACATATTGAGCAAAAAGAAGTTAATTGGTTTCACGTGTGGACTACCTCTAGGGGATTAATGTTGCATGCAGGGGAAGTGGAGGGGGAAATCGAGTTGGAGAATGCGGAGTGGAGTTTGTTGTCCGTCTCGAATCCATGAATTTGGTATTGTTTCCGGCAAAGGAAACGAAAGAACTGCACATTGAGCTTGTCCTGTCCACCGTATCCCGAAAAGCTTTTCCCACCACAAAACCAGCAGTTCCACCTTTTCCTCTTCTTCTCTCTTCCTTCACTTTCCTTCCTTCTCCTCTCTCGCTCAATTTCTCTCCTTTTTAAACCACTGTTTCCCCCCCCGTTCCCTCCTCTCTCATCGTTTCTTTCTTTTTTCTCTTGCGCGTCAATCGCGCATCTCTCCCTTCAACATGGATATGAACCATCTTATAGGGTCAGTCATCAATGCCTACTGGTCTGAACCAGGGTTTGTGCGGCTAGGCTGGAGTTAACACCTGGCAGTCAGCGGTTCAACCTGATCTCCAAGAGTGACATTCGGTATGTTAGGATCGCTTTCTCGTCTCGATTACATTCTTGTCTATGATGACCGTGCATCTTACTGACCCCCCTCGGTGCAGCTATGTGGGCACTTTGCATGAGATCAACCCTGAAGCCTCCACAATAGCTCTCGAGAATGTCATGTCCTTCGGTACTGAGGGCCGGCGAGGCAACCCAGCAGATGAGCTGCCCCCTTCTTCAAGTATCTATGAATACATTGTCTTCCGTGGCAGTGATGTGAAGGACATCAGTGTAGCCGAGGACAAGAAGGAAGATGCTACCCCAGAGCCTCCACAGGTGCCAGATGATCCGGCCATTCTAGGGGTAAGTCGAGCCACTATATCAGAGATACCTCCCATAGTCGTAGCTGGTACCTCAAGTCCACCGACCTTCACAGTCGGTAAAGATGATCTTATGATGAACTATTTCGGATGTAAACACAGACCTGTTCCGAACAGCGCAAAAACCGTGTGGAGATTTCCGTTGCCTTCCTTCTGATCAGATCATGGACTTCGTATCTTGCTTGCAAAACTTTTGTCTTTAGACTCTACAAGGGATCTCGCTAACCTTGTAAAAATAGAGCATGTCTCGTCCAGGACCCGCCCCTCAAGGAATCCCCCCTCAATCCCAGACGCCACAACAGTCTCAGATGCCCCGTCCGCCGCCTCCCGGATACCCTCAACCACAATTTCAAGCAGGTTTCTACCCTCCCTATGGACAACGTTTTGGTGGACCTGGTGGACCTGGTGGACCTGGCGGTCCTGGTTTCCCCCCTGGCCCCGGGTTCCCTAATATGCCCTATGGAGCTCCGCCAGGATGGTTTCCCCCTCCCGGACAAGGATTCCCTCCGCCCGGCCAATTTCCTCCCCAGATGCCAATGGGCCCTGGCGGCCAGCACCAAACACCCCCTCCACCGCGGCCTATGCCCGGCGCAGGTCCCATGAACATGCCTAAGAACACATCCGAACTCCCCGTCTCTGATAAGCCCTCCAGTAAGCCTGGTAGCCGTAATGGCACGCCCGCACCTAGTAATGCGGCCCAAAATGCCCCAACTCCGCCAGTTGAGTCTAAGCCCCCCGTGTCGGAGGCTCTTCAGGCGGCTACTGGTCCTACTCAGGTCACAGCTGGAACTGCTAAGGCGCCCCCCACGGGACCCAGAAGTGGACGTGTGCAGCCTGCCATCCCTATTGCCGCTCCCGGTAAGCCGCCAGTTGCTCAGGCCCCTGGCCCCGCTGGTGTCCCACAGGGTCATGCTCAGGCCGCAATCACTGAAGCTACTCGTGCTGCTACTGCTGCTGTGGCAGCTGCCATGGCCAAGTTGCCTCAACCCGGCGCTCAGAAGAAGCCCGGTGATGCCTCTGTTGAGGGTGTCACAAAGCAAATGGCTGAAATGAAGCCTTACGAGCACCGTGCACCCCGAGGTGGTCACCACCCGCGTGGCGGCCGTGGTGGCGGTCACCGTGGTCAATACCAGGGCAAGAAGATCGAAGTTCCGGAAACGGACTACGACTTCGAGACCGCCAATGCCAAGTTCAACAAGCAAGACTTAGTCAAGGAAGCTATTGCCACCGGCTCTCCTGTCCATGAGATCGAGCCTCACATCCCCAATGGCGAACCTGAAACAACGGATAGCTATGCAGCCGCCTACAATAAGTCGAGTTCGTTCTTCGACAACATCTCGAGTGAAGCCCGGGATCGTGAAGAAGGCACTGCCGCTCGTGGTGGTGGCCGAGAGTGGCGTGGTGAAGAAGAGAAGCGGAACATTGAAACCTTCGGCCAAGGTAGCGTCGACGGCTATCGTGGCAGTTATCGGGGCCGTGGCAGAGGCAGAGGGTATGGCCGTGGTCGCGGTGGCGGCTATGGCCGAGGCTACGGTGGCCGTGGCCGTGGCGGAGTGCGTGGAGGCCGTAATGTGTCTCAGTCCACTGGCGTCCCTGCCCAGAACTAGTGTTGTCTTTGGCATCCTTAACCTGATCCCGATCTTCACTTATATTTCTTGAAGCGCTTAGCGTTGAATATTTCCTTGATTTTGCCCTTTCTGGAAGTGATGCGTCCTTCCGTGGCTTGTTTCTGATATTACCCGGCGTCTGATGGTACCTTCTCACGAATACTTGGCACACAGTCAAGGTCTCCTCATGTTTGGGATGTTTTATGGTTACGGTGGGGATTGGTGAATTACCTGCTGGGATGATTTTTCGTTACGCGGCGTCGAATTATGGCGTTTTACATATGTTGCATGGGTTGGTCATGGCCTCCATTGCATTGATCACATATCTTGATGATAATCATGTTTTGTCTTCCCGGTGCACTCGTGCAGTCCCGGGCATGGCGGCGTAGGTTGGCTTGTTTCCAACTTACTATGTCTGCATATTTGCTTCATGGGGGTTTCTGGTCCTTGTCGAACCCTCAACGCCTGTTGAAGGCATGCCACTCGAAGCATCTCTGGAGATGCGGACTAAGGAAGGCTGAGAACGACTTGTGACTTTGATTTTCTCCTGTACCATAGTCCAAGTGATCCCAAGGATCTGACATGAATGAAAACAAGAAAAAACGGAGGCCGTTCGGTCTACCATTCGTGTGTTCTCTATTTCGTAGTCTGTAATTGTTCTATGTAGTAGCGCTAGTGACGCATCGGCATGGGTTGTATTATGCATCTGTGTCTATAAACTCTGCCGATGGATGGACAAGCATTGTTATCGCCGCGGC